TAAGCTTCAGTCAGCAAGTTCAAGTGGCAGCGGGAAGATTTGTCCTGACTGTCCCTGAAAGACTCAAATGTCATGTGACAGAGAGGGAATAATGGTAGCAGGCAGGCACATACTCATTTAGATTCTGGGAGATCTCTGCTGTGGCATTTCCTGCTTCTGTTATAATTATACTGTAAATCTGCTTTAGTTTAATGAAATTATTTAGGCTCAGACACACTCATACACGTTTAATATAATTCCTGACAGGTTGAATGGTTTTGAGAAGAATTTTGATTTGAGTTATATATACTGTCAATGGTTGTGACCTCTGCTCATCATTTAGATATTGTGGCCCTGTCTGCATACTGCTTCATCTACTACTTTGGGCCTCTTAACAAATATGCTTTTCTGCAATAGTGCATATGGAAATAAAAATAAAAACACATTTTTGAAAGAATCCATTTACTTTCTGTCTAAAAAACCCAGTTACATCCTATCTGCTGAGCTTTGCTCATTGTTCATCTGTATTAGGAGCAAAGATTCAGTACGGAGACCTGAAATAGGTTATTGTCAGTCTGATAACAGCTGACAGCAAAGCAATGTTACAGCCATGCTAGCAGCTCTGTGAAGCTGCACTTAGATGTTCTTCAGCATGCTAACGTTTTCTCAGTGACTAAGCTAAAATGCTGATGTTTATCAAGAATACTATTTACCGTGTTTGCCATTATCATTTAGTGTGTTTGTATGTTAACTTTAGCTAGTTTGCATTTAGCACAAAAATATAGCTAATAGGAGTGTCATTAGTATTTGGTAATAAGCTAAAACCTTAAGGACACATTGAAATTTACTTGATGATGGCGTTACATGAAAAGTCAAAGTTATTGAAATAATTACTGAGAGGAGCCATGAATAACTGTACAAAATTTGATTGCAATACATACAACAGTTGTTGAGGCATTTCACTTAAAACCACAAAAGTCAACTTCATTGTGATGCTTGAGGAAAAGTCAACGGATCACTAAAGTCTGTGGGATTCATCGTGTGGCAACCAAGACTGTCTGTACCCATCCAACACTTATGATATTTCAGTCTGAACCAAAGTGGAGGACTGATAGACACTGTCATACGTAGAGCTATGCTATTTGCATTACTAATAAGATTAGTCCAATAAAAACACCGGTGAAAAAACTCTCCGAGTAGCAAAACATATATTCAAATATTACTTGATATCCTGTATATTAAAAGGGATGTCACAGCCAGTGTAAATGTTCATGCTTGCATGCTGTTCTGTGAGGACAGTTTTCTAAAATGGCCTGCAATCTGAAATCCAAATATACCAGAGGTCCCTCCAGAGAGGCCAAGCCTCAACAGCTCCCTCTCTTTCCTGTTTTCATCCACATCTTAATAGCTTTCCATTTAGACAGTGATGAATGTGTGAATGCTATCAGCAGGGTGAGAAAAGATGGGAAGGACCTTGGCTATCATCCTCAAGTGTGTGTCTTTGTATGAGTCTGGGAAACAGAGAAAAAGAGTGTAAATATATATGTGTGTAGGTTTGCATGTATCATGTTGTCACAGCTGATGGGAAACCACATAACTTCACCTGGGGTGAATCCTTTCTCTCAACATACACTGAAAGAATAATGAATTGTTGACTTGTGGAACATAAAGAACAAGTATATGCTGCATACACACTGTATTGATGTGTGTACAGCACATACAGAAGAGTACAATAGTGTGTTAGCTGTAAGTCTTCCACCGTGAACAGCTTTAGTCTCTGGCAGACTGATAAAGGTCAGGCTGGCATTTTAAATTTGTGCGACAGCAGCTTTGCCATGACAAGAATAAAATATCAGAGACAAAGGAGACATGGAAAAACAAAAATATTTTACAATATTTCTCGTGTTTGAGAATGATGTCCTAGTTTTTCTTTTCTATGAATATATTTATTTCAGCATTTCCGAATGAACTAAACAGTGAGAAAATCATTTTTCAGTTACTCAGGAAGATTAACTTTTTACTTACTATAAACAACAAAAGCTTCTGTGTTTAAAAATAATATACATAGATACTAATTTCAATGAATATACAGAAAACAGACTTTTAGATCTACATCATCCAGCTGAAAAACTTTGGATTATAAATACAGTGTGTGGGACGTCTATTCTGTTCTATCAAAAATCTAATAAAAATAACTTTATTTCAGTCAGGAACTTCATTTATGTAAAGGCATCAGTGCATAAACAACACATAACAGGACAGATGACCAACAAAGAGTTGACAACTCTCAAGTGTAGTTTAAAATGTATAAAAATGTCCAGCAGTAAGGTTAAGTGTTCCTAAAATTAGTGATAGACCAAGAAATCAGTCGGCTGATTATTCGGGCCGATGAGTATTTTGAGTTAATCAGCATCGGCTGATGTCTGTGCTCAAGAGGCCAATAAAAAGTGTCTTCAGATTCATCTGCAGGCAGCCATGTCAGTGTGGCTGCTGTGGAACGATGTTAGCACTCGCCTTTGTGAGTTCAAGCCCTATGCTATAACTCTAATGCATCCTGCTGTAAACATAGAGTATGCACTAATTAAATAGAATTATACATGACTTTTCTTTGTTTTGATATCAGCATTTTATATCAGCCATCTGCAGCCCTGCTCTCTAAATATCAGCATTGGCATCGGCCATTGAAAAACCAACATCAGTCGACCACTACTAAGAACATCCATTAAAAAAATTATAAAGCTGATAAAGCTCCCAAACTTCAGGCATCAATGTAATTTTAGGGTGCAGCTAAAAGAGAGAAAACCATAAGACTGGTTTCACCGTAAGGATATATCAAGAATTAAAGGACTTCTGCTCTAGTCTGGTCTTAGTTATCAGATCTTTACACAATTAAAATTCTACTTTTGGTTTTTGGGAGTACTGAATGGTTCATGGCAAATATACATTCCTCATCCGCTGCTCCCTTATTGAAGCATGCAGACCTCTCAGATGGCCTGGGACAGGTCTGCCTGCTGTCCCCAGAGTCAAAACTAAACATGAAGAAGCAGCATTCAGTTTTTATGCAGCACATATCTGGAACAATCTTACAGAAAACTTGGTCTGCTCCAACTGTCAGTTCTTTTAAATCAGGGCTTAAGACTGTTTATTCATATCTCACACAGCACAGCCATTTTTATTCTGCTGTTTAATCTGTCCTATTCTGTTAGTTTATTTGTATTGTCTTTTTATTTTACTCTTTCAAAATCTATATTTATATATGTTTTAAAAGGTTTATACAGATAAACTTGCTTTGCCTTGATTCTATGCAACAATCTGCCTGTACTGTTTACTGTTTGTTATCACGTGGCTCTTGGCAATAAAGACAGTTCTTTTGTTCAGCAGTTAGAGGATATAATGTGATTGCAGGCATTCCAGGGATAAAATGTGCAGTGAACAGCAATACCATGTTAGTATTTACATAATATTACAAGATTATGCTTTTTAAAGGGAATACAAAGTTACCATGACATAATGATTTCATGGTCTCTGGGTTTCCTTTTCAAAGCCTTTCTCTCTAAACGAAAGTCAAATAATTCACAAGTCTGGCTCCAGGCTCAGATGAAGAAAACTTTTAAAAGGAGTACAGTTCGGTTAAATGTTCCATACTCTTTTCAGGTTGGCTCCAATAGACACATAAATTAGGCTTGCTATACAATGTCTCTCTCTCTCTCTCTCTCTCTCTCTCTCTCTCTCTCTCTCTCTCTCTCTCTCTCTCTCTCTCTCTGTCTGAGCCACTTAACACGCTGGCTCGGATCAGATCAGATCCATTCACTCCACTGGGTTTAGAGCCATTAGCTTAATTAGAGACCAGACATTCAATTCACTGTCAGATATCTTGATCCGTTGGCTGCCTTTCAGATGTCTAGCTTACAGTACATCCAGGTTATCATGGTGCCACTCGGTATACTGCAGTGTATGCCTCCCATGGCTGGGCCTGCGCACTGCAGGTTATATCACAGTGACAGATATGTGTTGACTTGTGTGGAGCTTTATAGGTAAAGCATCGCACTGACACTGACAGCATCAGTGGGGACACTATACGATGATATGGTTGTGGCTCCTTGAATGGTACATGTTGTAAAGTCTGTAAAAACTCAACTGATGGGAGGTAAGAGTAAGCCCCCCCCCCCGATAGCTGAAGCAAATCATCGCTCAGCTCCTTTTTAAACTGTCAAACCGACCAGCTCAGCATAGGCCTCCTCACCCTCCGCACAGCTGGACCAGAAGTAATCATTTGGCTGAAAGACTTTGCATTTACTAAATAAAAGCCATACATCATGCTGTCAGTATATATAGTAAACACAGTGTGTGTATCTGTGTGTAGTCTCTTTGCCTGGACATGCATCTATAACACTGCCTCCATAAATACATATAAAAGTATTTATTGTCCGTCAACATGGGCACAAGGGGTGTAATATATAATTCCACACATGCAGATACACATTTATAAAAACAGGTTTACAACCAGGCACACATACTATATATTCTTATATGCACAGACATCCATAACATACTGTAAAATATTACCAGATTTGATAGTTTCTGGCCTAATCCCCACAACCAGATTATAGTATTAACCCTTTAGAGGTCAGACAGGACAACAGATTGCCCTCTCAACAACCCCACCCACTCAACTAGCACACACACGCACACAATACTGACTATACCTGCTATTAACTACCCTCCAACCAGAAGGCGAAACCTCTAGATTAGCAGATTAACGCCGGTGTCAAAGCAGGATGACAACTAAAGTTTCTGTATTACAACAGCTGCTTGGATCATACATAGGGATCATATGTGTTGGTTTATTACTGGCATGAAATATTCATAAATACGCTGCTTTTGCATGCAACTTTTCTTTATTCTATTGAGGAAATAGTTTCTATCACATACAGTGCAGTTTTCACTCTGTTCGGTCAGCCTGCTTTGTATTTCTGAGCAATAAAGTGAGCTGATTAGTTTCTTTCTCTCTGTCTGTACAGTGTGTGGCTGTGATCTGGTGCACTCGGGTTTCTTTCACCACTCTGGGGAGTACATCTGTACAGAGGACTACCAGCGGCTCTATGGGACCCAGTGTGACAGCTGTGACAAGTACATCACTGGAGAGGTGGTATCTGCCCTGGGGAGGACATACCATCCACACTGCTTCGTCTGCAGCATCTGCAGGTAAGGAAAAGGGTTTGTGTTTATAGTCGTTTTCAGATTTAACACATATGGGCCTACTGACACAGAGCTACTCATGTCATTTCTCTCACACTGTGAACCAAAGATATATAGTAAAATGTCTTTTTAAAAAAAGCATGGGTGGGTGATTACAGTAGAAGTAATAGTAGTGCATTTAAAATATTTGTATCTTTTAACACTGTTTACAGCTCTACATATTGTCTCAGCAATCCTCCTGGCACTGCTTCATTCATAACTTGTGACAACAAAAACAACAGCAACAAATGAGATTCTTACAGAGCACCACATACTGTGGTGTATAATGGCTTTGCAGTTACCGATCACTGCTTCTTGCATACCACAGGTGGCCCTTTACAATTAAAATGCAATGACGTATAAGTCCTGCAGGCCGTCTGTGTTTGGTTTCATTGACCAGTTCACAAAACTACTGCAGAATCAATGCAAGGTTTTCATTTAAATGTTCACATACAACCAATCAAACTGGTTTTAACTAATTAAAAGTAACAAAATCAAGGTATATTGAGGCATGCCTTTTCCAGGTTTGTCAGAAAGTGTTTTACTAAAATAAAAACTAAAGGATGGGAAAATTAGGAAACAGGTGCACACACAGATTTTAAAAGGTAAGAGTGAATGAAGTGTCCTGCTTTGGACACAACATTTTAAATTAATTTGTATTGCTACCTTACTTTTTTAATTAAAAGCGGCTATACTGCTTTTTAGTGCCTGTGTGTCACATCCCAAAAACCCTTTTTCATTCAACCCTACCTGCCTGTTAAACTCCCTGCAGGCTTACTAATATAAAATTGAAGCCTTTCAAAAGACATTATGCAACTTTGACTGGCTTTACAATATAAATATATTTTCTTTAAGTATTATTTGTATAATTGTTTTTGGAATTCCACTGCTCTAACCACTCTGGTAAGTGTCGTTAGAGGAGAGCAGGAGGTTGATGAGAAAGACATCCAAGAGCAAACAAGATACGTTTTAAAATATTTTAAATCCGTAGCGATTGTTGTGGTTGGCTGGTCTTGCTTAATTATCATACATCATGTAAATATAATATTGGCTTCAGTTCAGTTCTCTCAAAGCTGGAGTGAATTTCATAAACGTGACTGTAAATTAAGTGTGACTGGGGGGCAGTACAGTAAATATATAAAAGGCTAACTGTCAGTCAGTGTGTAGATGGCTCATCAGGTTTTGGTTTGCTTATGGTGAGAGTTTTTGGAGAGTCCCCCATTTGTGTGTGTGTGTGTGTGTGTGTGTTGTGTGTGTGTGTGTGTGTGTGTGTGTGCCCACTCTACCGAATAAGAGCACACTGTACTAAAGTTGCAAATTAAGCTTATTTATTTTGAAAACGTCTGTGTCAGCATAATGCAGTAAAATTGTGTATCTCAAATGACTTTTTGTCAAAGCATGGCTCAAGCTCCCTCAACAACCGCTCTAGATATGTGCAGAGAAGACAAATAGCATAATATAGAGCTGGGCAGCACATTGATAATTGTTTTATTATTGTAATCATTATCATAAATGCCAGCTCCAGCCTGAACTTCTGTTACCATAGTTGCTGGAGTTTAGGTGCTGGATTTTAGCAAACAGGTTTGTTATCAGATACAGGTCTAGAGTCATTGATACAGTCCAAATGTGAAGTGTAGTCTCATCACAGAAATGTATGAGAATGTATAATAAATTATATCATCACAAAGTACTTATTGGGTTTTTAAAAACACAGGATTCTCACCAGAAATGTTGAATCGTATTTGTACTCTTTCAGCTTTTTGTGTTTCTGACGTGACAGTAGAAGAGCAGTGAATGCTTTATCATTTATCAACCTTCAATGTTTTTTTATTTTTTACTAGAGAAGTTTTGGAAATCTCTGCTGAGATCTGGATACAGATGCATACAATACAATGATAAAAAAGACAGCTGAACCTTGAGGCCAAAAGACATTACTGTAGTACTTAATGTACTTTTGTATTAATATTTTCGTTAAACTCTTTTTTTTTCGCGTTTGCTAAAACATATTCTTTGCAAACTAATGTGTATGTGTAGGTGTAATCAAAAAGCACAACTGACCCTGAAATCTCATATCTTCTTGGATACTGAACTGAATTAGTTTTTAATGCTGTGAGAACAACAAATGCCAAATGCCACAAATTCACAGTCACATCTATTATGCCAGGGTATCTGTAAATATATCAGTTGCATTTGTCAAAACTAAAACGGGAACTATTTGCATAGAGAGGTACTGTACCACTAGGGGAAAGAGGTAAAATACATGGATTTTTTTTGTGATTTGGGTGAACTGACCCTTTAACTTCATGTAGCAAAAAAGGAGAATTTCTGCATTGCCATATCTGCATAGCTTTACTGAAATTGTCTGTGTGTGTTCTCAGGAGCCCGTTCCCAATTGGAGACAGGGTGACCTTCTGTGGAAAGAAGTGTGTATGTCAGCAGTGCTCACACACCCTGAGCAGCAATAAGCCCGTCAAGGTCCACGGACCAAGCTGTAAGAAACAAACACACACACACACACACACACACACACACAAATATATGCTATACTTATATTGAAAATTTCCTAAACTGTAATATGACATTGGTTGGGCATAATGCATGACGAGCTGTGCAGTTATCCAAAGATAATGCATGAAGTGAGTATGTTATTTTTCATTGCTTCTGCAGGACCACGGCTACTTGCCAGCAATCAAAATGTAATGATTGCTTATCCACATTTTGAGGCAATGTAGTATGTTCATAAATGGAAATGATTTGTTGTCAGCCTTGTTGTATTCAACAGTGAATTGAACTAGCTAAGGTGCCGTTTTCCCTCCCCAACAATTAGGAGAAACAGCTACAACACATAAGTTCTCATGCAGCTTCTAGGATTAAAGTCTAGTATTCATCACTGTATTTTTTCCATCTAAAGGCCAAAACCAACCATGTTTAGTCTGTCTCTCAATACTTTCTGACATCCCTACCTTTTTTGTTTCCTACTGAAGACATAAATCTTTAAAAAAAAATGTAACTGCTGGTTGATCAAACTATACTCAAACAGGATTAAATAGTGAATTTGTGTAGGATTGACTCAAATAAACTACAGTTCCCACATTTATGGTGATGATGGGACATATAATCCAGTGCAACAGTGTGGCTCAGTTATGTGTTTTTAATAGATTTTGGACAATGGACATCTTTGACACAAAGGAGTAAGCCGGTTTTGGCTATACAGACAATTCATGGTTTTTGTCTCTTTGTGGTATTTGTTTACAGAATTAATGTAAGCTACTACATCAGAGCAGTGCAATTACCCAAAAATGCTGCATACCTCCTGGCCATATTGTAGGAAGGTTAATCTGTGGCCATGATTTTATGTAGCTTACTGGTATTTAATTACAGTTAATCACATCTTTATGATTCATCCAGCATGTAAGACAGTTTGTTCCCCTACATGTGAAAAAAAAAAAAAAACCCTTGAAGAATTTTACTGTCCACCTGCTGAACACTGCAAAACATAGCCTCATTCCCTGCAGCTACACACCCACCCACCCACACACACACACACACACACACACACACACACACACACACACAGAAGGTGGCCTGCTGCTCCAGGTAGTCTTGTAGCCTGGTTCTGGTAGCTCCATCTGGCAAGGACAGTGTGACTATCTCGACGGGAAAAAGGGACGAGGAAAAGAGAGAGAGGAAGGAGGAGAGAAGTGATGAGAGGTTGGCAGAGCAGAGAGGCAAGGACAGAGAGGAGGGATGATAAATGCATCAGTGCTCAAAACGTTGAAGCTGCTCTTATCTTCCTTGTGTGTTTTCTCAGTGCTGCATTTCCTGCTTCTCCTCTCCTCTAGACTGTGCAGGCTGTGGCGAGGAGATCAAACAGGGTCAGTCTCTGCTGGCTCTTGAGAGACAATGGCACGTCAGTTGTTTTAAATGTCGAACGTGTGGCTGTGCGCTCACTGGAGAGTACATCAGCAAGTAGGTGGCATCAACACCCAGATTTCTCCCCAGATTTTCCCAAGCTATTGACATCTTCTGTATATCAGTTAAATTCTATTTGCCAGAGAGGTAACCAAAACGTATCACATCAGTCTTTCACCACAGTATTTATTTAAATGTTTAGACTTGGAAGTCACAATGACGACTCCTGTGAATATTGCAGGAATCTGTTGTCAGGGATTAAGAACAATGTGTTACAGGATAAATAATAGTGGAACAGCTGCACAAAGCCAGGAGGTAAATTCAAACTGAGAACCTCCTTTTTTTGTTCCGGGCAGGGATGGGATACCTTACTGTGAGACTGACTACCACACTCAGTTTGGAATCAGGTGTGACAGCTGTAACAGGTACATCAGCGGCAGAGTACTTGAGGTGAGTGCATTTTTCCACCTTTGAATATGTGTGTAAGCTGAAGACAGATGGGAATATGTGGGGGAATGTGCATGATTTTTGTCTGTTTGTGTCTTTGTGAGAAAAAAGTGTGAGTTTGTGTGCATGCATGGAAGCATGTGTGTGTATGTGTGTGTGTCGGTCTATAAAAAGCTGTGAAAAAATGCAGCTGTCCCTCTTTAAATGACTGAAGTGTCGACTGATGATGACGCAGCTTTGGAAAACCAACAAAGCAACACTCTCCCATCTCCTCTACTCTTGTTGAATTTTTTTTCAATTTCTTATCGCGCCTCTCGCCATTCTTCACTCCTCATTGTTTTCCTCTGTTTCTTATCACCGCTCTGTTCTCGTTTCCTCAATTGTGTCATCTGATTTTGCTTCTCTCTGCCTTATTTATTTCCTATCACTTTTTTCTTTCCTTTCCTGTCTTTTACTTTTCTCCCCTCCAGGCTGGTGGTAAACGCTACCATCCCAGCTGTGCCAGGTGCGCCCGCTGTCACATGATGTTCCTGGAAGGAGAGGAAATGTACCTTACAGGTGAGGGAAAAGAGGAGAGGAGAGCCAGACAAATGGTACAATATATGTGGAACCTATGGAATTGATTGTGACCATACAGCGGGGCTTCTGCATACAGCTAACAGGCATAAAAATAGACTTGTAGCATCTATTGAATTAGCTGAATCCTGCAAGTATCCAGATGGCCTGAGTGTTTCTGCATCTGTGGAAGTGTAAGTGTGTGTGTGTGTGTGTGTGTGTGTGTGTGTGTGTGTGTGTGTGTGTGTGTGTGTGTGTGTGACAAAGAGAGAAGGCATGTTAGAGAGCAGTAGGATATGGTCACCTGATAAATGACTGCTTTTAACAAAGCACCATTATATAGGTTATTGATCTCACATATAGCACTCAGTGGTAAAGACACACATGCCCACACCTTCCCCCCGCTGATGTTTTCTTGATACACACAAAGGCTGGAGTCAATTACCTCTCAACCTTCGCCTCTGTGTCCATTACTCTGCGTTGCCCCTGACAGAATTAATCTGAATGAAACCGACTTCGCTGGAGGTTTAAATCTAATCATCCAGGAGCTTCTGTTAAACTAATTAGATTATTGCAATTAAAGTTAATGAGCTTCATCATGGATTCACTGGCCAACCTTCTTGACCATGTGAAAAAAACTTGCATTTTAATGCATTTTCATTAATGTTTTTTTTAATTAACCAACCAAATGTCCTACAAATTATTGTAGGACTCAGCCTCGGTACACAGGACGCTTGCTCTACCAACTGAGCTAACCGGGTTAAAAATGTTTTGCAGATAAATACAATATCAGCATGTCTGATATGTTGAAAAAATTTACATTTCCTTGAAAACATGATATTAATGTAAATTAGCTGCATATGCACATACTGTAGGAGATATGGTTGCATAAACAGGTCACAGCTGGAAGTAAGAGCCCTGCAATAGTAAACTGCACAAATGTCTCTTTCAAGATAAAGCTGAACCAGCACCATGCACTGTAGTTAAAAACAGTTTGTGTAACATGATGATTTGGCCTGACTGAGTTGAATCCAGATTAAGTGTAGAGTTACTGTACCGTAACATGTGGCGGACACACAGTGTCCCAGAGTCGCCTCCTGTTTCACCTCATTGACATTCTGCCGCTCACCTGCTCACAGCCACCAGTAAAACTAAGCATTTGCATATTGTACCTGAAGTCTGTGCGTCTGTATGTGTGTGCATTTTAATCCAGGCCTGTAAATGCATACAGGCGTCATTTCCTGTGTATGTCTGTGTGTGTGCTTGAATGCATGTTTGCACATTTGTGTGCATATATATGCAGGTGTGTGTGTGTGTGTGTGTGCTGAGCTCCAGTGAGCTGCCCCAAGGTTACATTCACTCCTTTTGATGACTTCAGACATGTAGGAGGGCTGAGCAATCACCCTCGTGAGACACACTCAATTACGACACACACGCACACTCTCTCTCTCACACACACACACAGTCACACATAACATATGTGCACACACCCTTGCAATCAATCTCATGATGCATGTCTGGAATAAGAAGTGGTGTGTGTGTGTGTGTGTGTGTGTGTGTGTGTGTGTGTGTGTGTTTGTGTGTGTGTGTGTGTGTGTGTGTGTGTGTGTGTGTGTGTGTGTGTGTGTGTGTGTGTGTGTGTGTGTGTGTGTGTATGTGTTGGAGGTGGGGGTGGAGAACTATTTTATGAAGTAATCGTGAATGTTTAATCTCAACAACTGCTCTTTAAATGGATAAATGGATGGAAATAGTATGTTTATTGTTCCCTCAGTTGTTCTAATTATTCAAAATCATAACACCTCCAGTCTATATGGCAACAACTTTGACAGCAGGTCATGGAAAGTTTTGCTCAGGGTGTTCAATCCCCTCAAATGTCATGCCCTGCTCCTCCAAGTTTTACAGAGTTACCAAATTTGCTATTTTTTCATTCTAAAGAAACATGAATGAATAATAAAAACAAGCACATGTTCTCATTTTAGATGACATAACATTTGTCCTTAAGACATAATACAGATGAGTTGTTAAAGGACCAGTGTGTAGGATTTAGTGGCATCTAGCGATGCTTCACCCTCCCTTTTTCCAAGCACGATGGGGACCTTAAGGTGACCACGAAATGTGCGGAAAACGTGTAAAAGTAATAGATTAATCAATTTTTAGTTTTAGGTCCTGTCAGGTTTTTATCCCATCAAGCCTTTTGAGAAAAATAGCCAGTGATACTGTCAATAATATATCAGTATCAGTCCTAAATTGCGAAGAGCATTCATTTGGTGCTTACAATAATTTAACAATATTTGTTTGATCCAGTGGACAGAAAATATCTGTTGGTTGAAACTTTCTGCCATCTTGTATTTCTTGCCACAGGTGACTGATCAGTGGTGCCAAACAAGATATTTTTGTTGCAATATAGAGAAATACTCTCACCTCCAAGTAGAAACTAATTGTAGTTTGACTGCATTCATCCGTACAGTGACTCACACGCCTAAAGTCTACAGTAAATTTTAAAAGCAAGGGCACCAGACATCAGGAGGTTCAAGGAATGGAATAAATCATAGTACATATCTGAATGGTAACATTAGCCTGCTGTCAATGCTGTCTCTCATGGCAGCATGATTCAGCAAAAAGCCAAATGCCTGAGGACATTTAAATATCTGCTGCTTTATAGCTTTAGAATTTCAAATGGCACGAGCATAAATGCCAATATTGCTTCCCTAAATTTCACTGGCTGCCTTCATCTCTTCTTTTGAATATCAGTGGTCAACATAAGGACGCCAGTGTTGTCCACTGATTAACCTCAATTTGCATAAAGTTTATATAAGGGGAAAAATAACTGTGTCTAAACATAGCTGGGGCCTCCTTCCCAAACAGAAAGACCAAGGAGTTACATTTGAATCATTATTTTGTGACAAATTTCAGGCAGCTAATTTTCTCAGAATTGATGTGCGGTGCAGTGGTTTGGATTGAATTCCTTTTCTCTGCACCATTTAGATTCTCCTCATCCAGGAGATAAAGCATCTCAAGTCCAAGGCCATACATCTGTTCGGCAGCAGAGTTGAGGAGCGTGGGTGGGACGGGGGTGCACTGAATCACCACGCATGGTTTCTGTCTACAGTATTGATTTTGTGTGCGGGTGTGTGTGGTTGTTGCGTGTGTAGTCTACTTCCCCGTACCTCAGTGTAAGTGTGTGCCTGTTTGTGTGTGTGTGCAGGTCAGATTTATGGTGTTGATAGTGGTTGTATATTAGAGTCATGATCAGCTGTCCATTCAGTTGCCCTGCTTTACCCCGAGGCCCGAGAAAATGATAGTCAGTGTGTGTCTGTGCAGTCAGAGCGGATATATTACTCATTATCATTATCAGATCCACGTGTATATAACATCCTGACATTAGTGGTTTATTGTTAGTATTATCTAATAGCCTCCATTCATTCCCTCTTTCCTCTTTTGCTCTATAGTAAAGTTTTTTCCTTCCTCTTTCCTTTGTCCTCCTTTGACCTCCCTTAACCTGCCTTGTTATTGATCAGTTACATTTTTAGGATTACTGTTAAAGCATGATGTTGTCAAAGCAGTGTGTCTGATTAGCATATGTGTACACAAAGGGTATTCAATAAATGTGCATTAATGAATTAGAAATAATAAGACAATAAGTGAAGCAAACTGAATGTGTAATGTACTTATACAGAATACTGTATTATTAAACTACTGTATGCACTTCTCTGTCTTTTCTGTTTCTTTTCTTCTCGCTCTCTTTTGCATGATGATCCATGATTTGGGCTAGATTTCTCATTTAAATAATTTTGTTAGTTAGCTGATTAAGAACTTCATTGACCACATTGTGGAAAACTGTCTTCAACTTCACCACACGACATTAAAAACAAGAGATAAGACGACTGATGAGGAACACAGTATCTACAAACAAATAAATACAGTTAGTGATTTTCAAAGAGGTAAAGGGCCTGCTAAATACAGCAAAGAGAAAAAAAGCTCCATATGCTGATTACTTGACGTCTGGACTTTCCAAGTTTTTGTGAAGCTTTAAGGGATACGTGGTGACACTGTACTTCATTTATTTATTATTGATAGATGGATATATTGTTATTGTTACTGTTACATATTGTTTATTGAGTATTGATGTGTAGTAGAGTGGGCTGAAATTTCAATAAGATCAGAAATTCTACAGCTATCAGCTCTGTGAGGCTGTACTTAAACACAGGTGCTTTAAGCTAAATGCTTATGTCAGCATGACCTTCTTAGTTTACTGGACTGGGAAATGGTGCTAGGTATTAAAGGATTGCCAAAAATACTACCATAACAAATGTTATTGAGAAATTTCACTCAAAGACATACAAATCCACCTCACTGTGGCAGGAGTCGGGGGTTCTCCAAAGTCAGTGGAATAACCATAAATGTCCATAAACCACAAGTGTCTAAACAAAATTTCATGGCACTCTGTGTTATAGTTATTCAGTCTGGAACAAAGTGGAGTGGACAGTGCCATCCCTTGAGCCCCTCTGCTAACATGGCTAAACTCTCTCTCTCTCTCTCTTTCTGTGTTCCTCTTTGTTTATCTGTGTGGGGAGACAAGAAGACTTACATCCTCTGTCCTCAGACCAGACAAACTGCCTCCTGTGTGTGTGTGCCTGTGTGTGTGTGTGTGTGTGTGTGTGTGTGTGTGTGTGTGTGTGTGTGTGTGTGTGTGTTGTTGTTGTTGATTGATGTTGATGCACTTGAGAGAGGCTGATCTACTCTTGATAGGATGCCATAAAACTGTATGGCTGCTGCCCACACACAGTAAACAAAGTAAACTGAGCTAAAATTGTGCGTTGTGTGCTTGTGTGTGTGTAGGTTCAGAGGTTTGGCACCCGATGTGTAAAGAAGCAGCAAGGCTGGAGAGAAAACTGAGGGTGAGCGATACTCTAAATATCCACAACTCCCTGCCCTCCCTCTCTATTTCTGTTGACGTCCTCTCTGTGTTTTTCTTTGTCTCTGTGTCTGAAAATTTCTCATTCTTGGTTTCAAGCTACATTGTTCTAAACAAAGTTGCCCTCCAGATAAATGTAGCATTGTTTTAAAACCAACCTCCCTGTCTACTACTTTTTAATCTTGCCCTTAACTAATAAAATACTGTTAAATATAAGATATAGTGCTTTGGACACATTTTCTTCGTATTTTACAGCATTACATGTAATTTATGAAAGACAGGGAACATCTTTTTTATCTTTATTTGGTGGAACTTATCCAAAGAGCCCTTGAAAATGTCCATTTTTTATGTCTGAAACAGCATTTTATTTGAAATATTTATAAAGACTGCACTTTGGTAGTCTGGCTGCCTGCTAGAGCAAAGAGTTACAGGCTGTCTTTCCAGAAATAAGGCAAAAAAGTACCATGAAAGTGCAAATAACACAATATGTGTTCTTTACATTAGGACAGAGGAGGAAGTGTTTCTGTAGTCCTCCTCATAGCTTACATTCTTTGTACATAAAACATTTTTCTAATTAAGAACAACAAAAACTGCATTTCTCTCCTTTTATAGTCAAATGTTGGCACTGCTCATCTCACCTAAGTTAACATAATGTAAATACTGCAAATTCAAGGTCTTAGCCAGTGTGTTTATGACTGGCTTTCTCTCATTGGTTATCTTATCTCCTTGTTATTGTCAACTTCCTTTTTGAAAATTACTACCCCAATGACACTTAATGAGAATGTATTAGTTTCAGTTATATACTGTAGTTACAATGTAAAGATTTAGAAAACTCGAATAAATAAGGGAACCAGCCGCAATTAAACTCGTGTCAACTCAGTTTAAGAAGTTCTAGTGTTCAAATGACTATACATTACTTATTCTGTCAACTGGTCGTTTTCTGTGTAGATAACTTCACTGGTTTATAGACAAACTTAAATTAAGTTGAGCCAACAAGTAGTTATATTGTCAAGAGCTGATAGACTTTTTTCCAGTTGTATTTGTTTTTCACTCACTGGTTCCACAACTTCAGAAGACAAGAACTTTCTCACTTTAATAACTTTAACTTTAATGATTCAAAGATTGCAAATTATAAGGAATTGCTCACTTTTATTGAGGCAAGAGACTGGTTGGTTGTCTCAACTAAAACCTTTACTTACATTTTTATGTCTTAACAACTTGTTTATGCCAAATAATAAACAGTAAGGTGTTGTTTTTGCTGTGTGTGACAGTCTTATCCACACCCCTCCAAATAAGGTGTTACCAAAAATTTGAGTGTGTGTGTGTGTGTGTGTGTGTGTGTGTGTGTGTGTGTGTGCATATGTGTGTGCATGATTTTACATGGCAAAGACCCACCTGACAACACATACTAATTGGTTGTTGATTGCTGTGTATGATGTCTTTATTATTATTATTTTTAGTTCTTCAAAATTGAATTACATGTATAAGATCAGGTTGTTTTTTTTTTGTATTTGAGCTAACTTTGACCTCAGACTCTTATTTTGGTCTTACCAGCTGAGACGTACCTCTGAGACGGCGTCCCTTTCCTCTCCAGGCTCCTCTCCTCTCCTTGGCTCCCCCCACCGGCTCATCTGTGTAAGTATCACCATGGTTACACCAACAATGGTGTGGTTACACCCTCAGCTGTCACTGTCACAGGCTTCAATCAAAATATAATCGACAGCGACAGAAGCACAAAGAGTCCCTGAAAGCTCATTCTGTCGACCCTATCTGTCTTTGAGCAGACTTTTCTTGTCTATTTGTCTGTCCCCCTGCTACTGGCCTGTCTGCAGCACAATTAAGCCTTAGTTATGGGTATATAATCAATTTAAGAACCTCTTTTATTTTCTATGACTTTTCTTATGGGAGACTGGTTTTATACTCTTTTAAAATTGTCATTAAATAAGCCTTAAAGTATTTTAATTAAACCAACTCATCTGTCAGTCAGTCAGTCATCTTCTTTCTTTGTCTGTGTTCATATGATACAGTTTGTTTATACTTCTTTGCTGAGCTTTTTTGCCTTATTTCTGGAAAGACAGCCTGTTATTATGCATGAACAAATTCTACTGTTGCTCCGCTGAGGCTACCGTACACTCTTTCCTGGCTTTGCTCACCATCACAGATTCCTGCATTTTTACCGGTTGTAGAATTTCCTGCTAGCAAGCACTGGCTTGTTTTAAGCAAGGTAGCTAGCATGTGTTTCATGACGGAGACTTGTTGCCAGGACAAATCCTGCAACGTCTTTATGCGGATGATATAGTTCTTTATTGCTTCGCCGATACTGCACAGTCTGCACCACAGATACTACAAAAAGCCTCATTTGGTGGGACGGGATTAACAAGGAAATTGAAATTAGTCCTGAATGCAAACAAGACTAACTATATATTCTATATTCTCTACAATAATTTGCATATTACCGCACTGAATTGACAATCTATTTGTTTACTTGCTAATTATTTGTTGTGTTTATTTATTCTGTTGTACTCTCTGCAATTCTACTGCTATTTATGTCAGATGTCCTATTTTTGCCTCTGTTTCCATTCTGCCTCTCTCTCTGTCAACCCGCCTCTCTCTTTCTCACAGTCTAAAACTGACGGTGATGTTTTGGACTATAAACAGCTGGCAGCTCTGCCCAGGGTCAAAGCCATATATGACATCCAGCGGCCTGACATCATTCCTTATCAGGCCGACCATGCACACACACACCTCTCAGATGACACTCTGGAGCGATATAGCTGTGGACAGGTACACACACACACACACACACACACACACACACACACACACACACACACACACACACACACACACACACACACACACACATATATAACAAAATATAAATAACAAATATTTATTTTTCTCCATCTCATTCAGTCACTGGGCTCCTTATCGCCGTACTCTCATGTAAGTACTCCACCGAAGAATCTTACTCCAAATATTTTACTCCAAAGTCATAGCTGTACTTCATATGTGATAGTTACTGTTTGCAAGGAGCAGGGAACAACAGTGTCTTTGAAGTGGGAAACACTTGCAGTCTGTTCTACGTAAAGCACTGTCTTCATGAAGAGACTTACAGATAAATAACATCTGATTTTATATATAATCAATCAATAAACTGCACAGATACAGAGCTACGCAGGCGTGATAGATCCACATTAAATACAGTTGCTTTGTCAGTGTCTCAGCGGTAACGGTTGTGGTCGTTCAGTCACCAACCCCCTTTAAGTGCCACAACAATCCCTGACCTCATCCCTTACATATACGTGATTTCAGTGAGTTTTGCACAGTCAAGGATACAAATTAAAAATGTTGGAATAAGAAAGCACTGGTGTTGCATCGATACTCAGTATCGGAAATAACCTGAGTTGAGGTATTAGAATTGGAGGAGGAGCGAAAAAGTTAGATTGAGCAATCTGCAGTGAGTTTCAAATCTTTGCAGGCTGATCTTCATTGGCATAAACTGCTAAAACTGGCTGCCAGGAAGGTCAGAAAAAAAAAATCTAAAAACTGATGGTCATTTAAACAAATGAGCAAAACTCCCTATGTAACCACAACTTTTCATTTTTGCACATCTCTGTATTTGTGCATATTAAATATAGAAGATAAGGTCTTGAGGTGCTATCAGGACAGAGCCAGGATAACTGTTTTCCCCTGTTTCCAGTCTTTATGCTGCGTATTCGTGTACAGACATAAGAGTGGTAACAAATCTATTTAACACTTGGCAAAAAAAAAGGAAATAAGCATATTTACCAAAATGTGAAACTATTCCTTTTAGAATATGGCTGCTTCGTATTCTAAGAGCTATGACATCCAAAATAAACTGTTTTCTGCCGCAGTCTTTCCTCACAACCCGTGTAAACATTCACACTTCACTGACCAAATATCTTAGGAACATATGTGTCTGTAGGTGTGTGTGTGTGTGTGTGTGTGTGTGTGTGTGTGTGTTTCTGTGTGTGTGTGTGTATGTGTGTATGTGTGTGTGTGTGTGTGTGTGTGTGTGTGTGTAACTGTGGAGAACTTGCACAGTGTAGAATATGGAACTTCTCTCTGTGATTAAAATTGTGTTTTGGAAAGAGTCTTGTGTTGTCTAATTTACTGCATTTAGTAAATGAAACTGCATTACTGTAAGACAGCCTCTCTCTCTCTCTCTCTCTCTCTCTCTCTCTCTCTCTCTCTCTCTCTCTCTCTCTCTCTCTCTCTCTCTCTCCAGGATCTCTTGGACGGCGTTGACTTGAGAACGAGGCGTTCCTCCAGCTCCATCTTCACTGACTCTCCTGCACACAGTCGCCACGGAGGCTCCCCGCTGCATTGTTATCTCCCCGGTAATGCGCCCACTCAAGCAAAGACACACACACACATACACGCAGAAAATATGAGTTCCCTAACTGCAAAGATGTACTAGCTCTTTGAGTGGGTGCAACTCAATGTTGTGTCCAGTTTGAATCCCCAGAATTCATACGGCACCCCGATAGACACACACACACACACACACTCAAGTACATGTAATTCATCAGGTTGTCAGTCTGTCTGTCTTTCTGTTTGGGGACGTGGGCCATTCTGCTGCTCATGCTTTGGTTTCTCTCACTGTGATTGGCTGCACTGACTGCAGGCAGTGAGAGTGGCAGGAGTTCACCCTATTACAGTCAGCCAGAGCCTCGGTGTGCCACACCCACCAACACCACCTTCCAAGCCCCCAAGCATTTCCATGTGCCAGGTAGGCCGTCATCTAAAACACTGACCCCCAACCTGTTTACTAACCCGAGTTTCCCCCATGTCACATAGAAGCCAACCCCGCCTCCAACTATTTATTTATACTGTAGCTCGTAGGTCATCATTTCAGACTCTGTTAACCATTAATCAATCAAATGTTTCTATAGTTTGATTTAGAGACCCTGACCCACGTCCTGACCCCAGAGCCACACTAGCTGCTCTCCTATCAACCACACAACCACATTCCCAGTGAACTTTTAACCTGACTCTGTTCATTTGTCATTATTATAAGTGCTGAAGCAGTTAGTTGATCAACAGAAAATTAATCAACAATGATTCTGGTAATTGATTCACTGTCATTTTTCAAGCAAAAATGCCAAACAATTTTTATTTTGAGCTTCTCAGTTGTGAGGATTTGCTGTTCTTCTCCATTTTATATCATTGTTCATGGAATATCTTTGGGTTTTGGAGTGTTTGTCACTTCCACTGTGGGAAATTGTGACTGGTATATTTCATTTTTCAAAGTATTTTATAGCCTCAGTAATAAATAGAATTACCAACAATGAAAATGAGTGTGATTTTTAGATGCCTAACAAGTTTCACATACCATCTAAGTGGAAAAGAAATATATATATTTTACTCTGATTCAGTGATTATCCATTATCATTTTAGTCTTCTGACATATTTTAATTTTAAAATCCATAAACATTTTCGGTAGTTATCCATCTTTTCAGTGTATTCCATCGGGGAGTCTTTATCTAATTTATCTCACTGATCCGGAGCTCTTGTATAACATATGAGCACTTTCATCTCACAACTAATACCAGTTCATTTTATTGAAACATTCCATCAATCCTCCATTTTATCAAGCTAATGCCTCTCTCCTCCCTGAATGTTTCACTCTGTCTCTGTTCCCTTCACTTTTAAAAGGCCTTTACTCTTCAGTGCAAGCTGTGCATTTGGTTTCCCTCCATCATTCCCTCCTCCTGCCTTCAGCCCGTTTCTCACTGCATGTTCCCTCTCTCCCGTTTTTCTGAGGCTGTTATTCTTTGCCAGCCCTGCGACAGAAACTCAGTATTTGGTGGATGCTTTTATCCAGAGTGCCTCGCAGTATCATGAGTGCATATAAATTTAGCGTGGATGGCCCATTTGGAGTCAAACCTCTAACTTTGGCAGGTTTAGTTGCACGCTTTGTGCAGTAGAAGGATGTTTGTTTTTTGTTGTATTTTTTTTTGCATTATTTTTTATATAAGTTGAATATGTTATTCATTCATTCAAACCTGAATGATTCTACAGCACATTCCACCAAATGAGAGCTACAAAGTGCCACATGTTCCTGTCATTTCTCCCTCAAGTTTCCTCTCCTCTATCTTTTTCCTTTGCGTCTCCATCCAGTCCTTTCTCCACCCTTCAACTGCTCTCCTCCCTCTTCTTTATTCCTGTGCCATCTGCTGCTCTTTCCTGTAATAAGCCTGTGAATCGGTATTTATCAGCCTCTCTGCACATCAGTCAGGTTGTCTGGATGCACGGCACTGTCTCCAGCATAGTAGTTTATTACCCGTGTTGTCAGCTTTACGGTTAAGAAGACTACAAATGTACACAACTCATTTGGTGGGATGAGATGAATAAGGAAATCCAGATTACTCCTGTCTCCTCTCCTCTCAATCTCCCTCTCTGTTCCCTTTACTTTCTGCACTTATTCTCTTGTCGTTTCTGTTCTCAGCTTCTGAGGAAACCAACATTTACAGGAAACCACCCATCTATAAAAGACAAGGTTTGTCGGTTTCTTACAATGATTTTGTTAGGCTGTCTACCTGTCAGTCAGTTGATTGTTGTGTACATTGTTAATGCATTCCTAGTATGAAACATGCTTCTTTGACTTTGTCTGACTTAATGAATCAGTCAGAGAAAACATCTGTCTATTATCTTGTGTTTATGATAACATTCAGTCCTCCTCTCCAGCTTCTCTCAAAGGAAGTGAAATTTCCTCTATAAGCCTGTACAAGCTTGATGCAGCAGTAGTTTACCACTGGCCAGTTTCAGAGTTTATGGAGTGCTACTGGATAATCTGAGTGTTGCGACTTGTCTAGGGCTGTAATGATTAACCATTTAATCAGTGAGTCTTTCAACGACAATCTTCACAAGTTCCAGCTTGGCAAACGTGAGGATTGTCTACTTTTCTCCGTTTTACACCTCAAAACTACACACAAACTCAACCAAGTGACTCAAACTGAATTTGAAATTTTACATTTCAGCTACATTAAGTTAAATTTCCTCCATGTGCAGTCAACTTGACCTTTTTGTGACCCTGACTATTATGAGGAGGGAGGCACCAATATGATCTGCATCATTTTCAGCCCCAATACTGAATTTATGAAGCCACAATGTTACAAGTCCACATTATTTTTTTTGTTTTTTGTTACCATTGTAAAATTCAGTGTTTCTGCTATTGTATCATAATGTTACATTCATTCAGTCACAGTGGGCTGCCTGCTTAGTTTTTATGGCACCAAATATGGTACTAAATAAACTAAACTAAGGACCGCAGCCCCTAGTGGCCACATCAGAGACGAGATTACAAATTCAACTGGTGATTCAAAAGGTGATGTAAAACTCAGGGAAGCAGTGCCAAATACTGTAGGTGTGTGTAGGTGATCCATCAGTGCTCAGATGTCAGGTCCAACAGAGTTACAGTTCCTCAGAAACACCTCTGGATGATTTACGCTGAGCTACAAAGTGCTGACAACCCTCTCTCTCTTCCGTCTGAGCAGGCAATCTGTGTTCTGGGCTCTCTGGAAGAATTTGAATTTACAGCATGAATCATTTATAGAGCAGTTTTCATAATAAGGCAAAGCACCATAATCGGGTGTATATATATATATATACTGTATATTTACTACCACAATGTATGATGCAGACTTTGTAGAGCAACTCAAGGGGGTGTTTGGTTATATTACCAGGAAGGACAACTGAGAAACATAGCGAGAGCTTGAGAATAGCAGATGTAGCAAACAAATGATTACACATGAATGGTTTTGCCATATTTTAACAGCTCCACATGCATGAATGATCTGATGCAGGCCAAAAATCTGTGCATGTTTTTCTTTTGGAGCCTTTTAATGCTTCTGTAATATCTGTTATAGATGTAAAAATATTACCAGGATCAGGATGTAGGAGGTTGCCTTGGCCCAAAAGATGTACGCACTGGATCTGTTTGTTGATATCAAACAATGATGAATTTATTTGTCCCTGTTAAATTAAGACTCAGATTTTTAAAAATGTAATAAAAATCACAAATAGGGGACAGATTGCTCAGTTGGATTTTTGTGCCCAGTGTAATTTTGGATTAAACGTCACATTCATGCATCCACAGCATCAGTCAAAATATGACCTTTGCTTCATGTGACAAACTCGCTCTTTTCACACTGTCTACTAAAAGCCAAAACCCCTTCAACAGTTCTCTTTCAGATATTACATTCTGTCATCTTCATAAGGAAACCGCAAGCCAGCATGATGCTCTAACATTTCACCCTTCATACACAAATGAATCAACATTTGTTTTAATGTTCTTCACATATTTCACACCACTAACTACCTTCCTCCGTCCCTTATCAGCTTTGCTGCAATGCACCTTTGATAACTTTTGCTTGCTTACTGGAAGCTGTGAATCATATCCCATCCCATTTCCTCTGACCTCCTTTTTCGTTCTCTGTTCCCTTGTTTGTTTTTGATGCCTCTCCTCCTCCCTCACTCCCCCCTGCTGTGCCCTCCCCTTTATGTAAGTAAATGCACTACTTTGTCCATCTTGTGTCTCCTGCACACACACACGAAAGCTCTCACACTCACATTGGTCGAACAGTCAAACATTTGAACTAATATACTAACTAACTCAGCCATTTTTGTGGATGTGGAAGGTGTTTTTTTTTTTCATTCTGCTACTCTTCCTCAATGGCTGACTTTTCCCTTCCCAGTTTAGTTAACACAAGCATGTAAATCAGCATATAATTGCACTGATATGATTTCTCTCTCTCTTTTTCTGGTCATCTGTCCCTCAGACATATCCGCCTCTCCAACAGCCAGTAAGAGTAAGACCAACGAGAACCTTGTCAATTCCAGTCGCCTCTCCACCTCCACCTGTAACAACCTTTATCACCCGGACTCCAACTACTACCCATACACTGGTTCTCCAAAAGGTATTGCTCCCTCTCTGTCTAAAGCACATACCTCTGCACACGCAAGTGCTTAGAAACCTGTGTTTACACCAAATGCAAGGTGCATACACATCTAGGCCCCCTTTTATCTCCATCTCTGTCTCTAGTCTCCAGGGTGAGGAGGTTTTCGTCTGGAGGAGAGGAGGATGGATGGAATCATAATATAAACAGGGTAAGAAAGAAGGGCATTCTCCTTATTCCCTTGTCTTTTAATATTTAATGAGCTTCTTAATTAAATGCTTTTTTTTCTAACCTCACCCACTGGACATGCTACAAAGTGATGCTCCTCTGCTCCTCTCTCCATCTTTTACTCCATATTCATCCCTCTGTCTACAACCATTGCCTTTCCTGTCACATCCTGCTGTTATTATCTATCAACCCATTCATCCATCCCACTCAAATAACTCTTATTGCTCTATCTATCTACCCATTTGTCCACCTTCTTTTCTGATCCCCATCCTTCTACTCCCGTCTGCTTTTCCTTCCTCCTTCACTCCCTACAGGGAATTGGCAGGATGATCCTGAAGGAGGAGATGAAGGCGCGGTCGGGTTGTCACGACAATGACCAGTGGGGGAGCAGACGCAGTTCCCGCTGTAGCAGCAAGGAGGCGCTGAACAATCTGGGATTCAGCTCCCTCAATGGCTGTAAGTCTGTGGTTGTGAGGGTGTGTTTGTTTTTGTCACCTCTTAAATCTGTCAGAAACGGTTCATATATGTAGATCTACTACATTTACTACAGTTTCTGTTCATGTCTGTGTCCTATTGAACAAGACAAAGTCATCCTAGCAGCTCTTTGTAGCTGTACTTAGGCACAGCAATGCATTGAGTTAAGTGCTAATGCATGTTAACATGCAGTTATAATGTTTACCACATTCACCATCTTAGCGTAGCTTGTTAGCATGCTAACATTTGCCATTTAGAATTATATACATAGCACAGCTGAAATAGGAATGTCATTGGTTTTGCAAGTATTTCGTTATGAACTTAAGTATCTGCAAATTTGAAAGTTTGAGCAGATGAAAAGTAAGGTAAAATCCTGACGTGTGTGTACTGAATTTCATTGTCCATCTAATGTTGTCAAGCCATTTCGCACAAAACCTCATGGCAGAGATAGAGGAGAAGTCAGGGGTTCACCAGAGTCAACAGGCTTCATCCTCTGGTCATCATGAATGTCACAGCAATCCATCAAATAGTTGTTGAGATATTTCAGTTTGTACCAAAATAGAGTGATACTTATCTTATTTTTAGCAGCTTCATTCATATTAAAGATTGTGGAAAGTTATCAATATCGGTTTCTCATACAATGGCACATGATGGTGCAGACTTAGGTCTATATTTTGAGCTTAAAATGCTTACAAAAATGTAAAGTATATATAATCCGTTAACACTGACATGGTCCTTACAGGGTGTTGTTGGGTTGAGACTGTTTAGGTTCAACACTGCTGAGCGAGCCATGGTGTGGGAGAGTTTCCCACTTCTGTATTAATTCTTCCATTGATCCCATTCCTCATTGCATTCAGCACATGTAGGGGCAAGACAAAGATGGAGAGACTCAGATAGAGAATGAAAGAGAGAGTGTTTAGGTGTAGGTCGAATGGGAATAAAAGAGAGGGTGTTATAACAGGAGAGACAGAGAGAGTGAACGAGATAGAGTGAATTAAATTAAAAAAGAGAACGAAAGAAAGGGAGTGAGAAGCTAAAGCAATTTGGAGCTGTTCCGAGAAGATGTATGACATGAAGCCAAGAGGTAAATCAGGGTCAGAGAGCGGTGGAGAGAGAGGGAAATGAGCTATGTGCACAGGGAGGTCAGACAGAGAGAGGTGAGGATAATGTGGGTGTGCAGTGCTGCGTAATCACTGTGGGTTTATTGTGCCTGCTGTTATTAGACAGATTAGAAAATACAGAGAAGTGTTTGCTTATCTATTCTTCAGAAGAGGCTAATTCCAAAATGGGCTGTTCACCGTTTGTGACATAAACATGAACTCTTCTAAATAATTGACCCTTGGTGAATTAATTTACTTTGACAGTGTCGGTCTGTTGGCCCACTGCTTAGGTCCAGACTGGAATATCTCAACAAGTACTGGATGGATTGCCTTTTCTACAGACATTCATGTTCCCCAGAGGATGAACCCTACTGATCTTTCCTGTAGCATCACCAGCAGGACAACATCAACTACAAGATGAATTTGGCACAAAATTAGAGGGTTCCCAGATAATGAATCCAATAAGTTTGGTGACTTTTCCACCATCAGTATCACATTTGTGGTTTTAACTGAAATATATCAACAACTATTAGATGGATGGCCATGAACACATCCATGTCCCCCTCAGAAACCTTGTATCTTGGATATTTTATCTTTTCTTTTACAAGTGAATGCTGTTGATCATCCTTTACATCTGTCTGTGGGTTTATTAGCATTATATTGGTAATATTTAACCAGTGGAAAGTATTAAAACCAACAATACAAACTTTGACAACACAGTGTTCAATATTGTGAAAAAAGTGTGTTTTTCTGATTTTCTGATAAGTAATGGTTTTGGACATATGAGGTTTCCAACCAATAGTGACCACCAAGTAACAAAACAGACTAACTCAACACAAGCTATTTCCTTAAAATCAACATAACCACATAGCAGTTTCTTTAACAGTGAGCCAAACAGTCATTTACGTGTACAGCAGACGAGGGCTTGGATAAAGCAGACTGTCTGCTGCCTGGCACAGGGGATTTCTGGAGCCTTCCTGGTCTTGTGTTGCTATGGTGATTAATTGACTCATTAACGAGTGCACTGCTAGAGCCATTTATAGACTGATAATAAAATAAGATATTAGGAAAAGAGAAAGATATTTTCCTTATCTTTTGTTCTGTTCCAAAACCAGAAAAATCAGTCAATCTCAAGCAGCAGCACAGTCCATTAAAATTACAAGGTGCAGTGAGTGGATGCCATAAACATATGCATTTTTAACATGCTCAATGCTGCGTGGCTGTGCCCTATGTCGCTGTGCATATTTTATATCATGTGTAGGTCTTAATGGTGATTTGTCTGCATGTTGATGCTGTCAGGGGCATATATTCCCACAACTGATGTTTTATAGATGTCCCACAACAGCTGGCCTTTTTATTTTTATTTCCCTTCCACTGAAAACAAACTCTCAGTTTATTGTTTGTCTTTATACTTTTACTATGTGACACGTTTATTAACCCCACTTAACACAGTCTCACATACTGCGCATGTTTACCCAATCAGCCTCAATCAGAGAATTGTTTTAGTTTTAAGATTTTGGTTTTCATCTGGCTCAGGTACAGGTGTCAGGATACAACAGCCACTAAAAACCACATTATGTCTGTGTTTTTGTATATTATATATATATATATATATATATATATATATATATACACCTTCTTAAAGGGTAAAAAAGAGAACTTTAAAAATCTATGTGAATGAAATTGTTATTTTCTAAGTTTAGATCATTATTTAAGATCTATCTTCTTTGAAGGCCTGAACATAAGCTACATTCACAGTGCCTTTACTCTCTGATAAACAGCCTCATGCTGCATTAGCAAAGAATTACGCTAACAGAACAATGACGAAGCATGAAAAAAGCACTGGATTTGTCAATAAATAAGCTTATTATTTTTGTATGACTGTTAAAAAAAAGAAAATACATAATACTGACAGATAATTATATAAAAACTCAATGCAATAATCTCTTGTATTACATAAACTTTCTGCAGTTATTGCGTTCACTGTTTGGGTTCATTGTACAGTTTATCAGTCAGGAGTCATCAGTTTACTCAATGATAGAAAAGGGGTACCTTAATGAAAGGTTGGGAACCACCGAGCTAGATGTTTGGTTAGTTACTTTTGCCTATTAATCATGTAATCATCCCTTTTAATTAGGATGTAGGAGCTTTAGTGGATGAATATGGAGTCTTACTGTGGCCCCATAGTGTTGTGAACTTGCTTAGATTCTTCTTAGAAACATTTTTAATGAAGCAAAGTTATTGAATGGTAATTGATTAGGACTGCAGAGTTGTTGGACTCCAAACACAAAATGCAAGAGATGTTGTATTTCCAAGGTCTAAAGCTGGTGAGATTAATAAAGCCCTATGTGTCTTTCTTTCTTTCTTTCTTTCTTTCTTTCTTTCTTTCTTTCTTTCTGTCTCCCCCTTTTGCTCTCTCTGTCCTCAGCTCCCAGGTCCGTCTGCAGTGCAGACAGCGGTGAGTGGTTCATCAGTGTGTTTTGATCTCTGAGGTCATCTCAAGGGATACGGCAACACAGTGGGCTGTCTTCCCTGTGATCTCCTTCATCCTGTCGGTTCTGCTGCGACAGCGGGAGCACTATAAGTGGGAGATTGTTATCAGCTCCCACAGGCACCCACACACACACACACACACACACACACACACACACACACACACACACACACACATATACATAGACACACCTCTTTTCTTTTGGGTTACAGGTGGGAAGATTAATGACACTGTAGTTTAGGCCTGTATTTATCAGCTTTTCTTTAGCAGGAGCACTGATCCAGGATCCCTGACCCTGAGCCCCTCAGCCATCTGTTTCCCAACCTACAGTTACACACTACACTTTTATGAAATCACATGACCTTACAATGCTGGATGGATTTTCTTGTGATCTCTCTATCTCTTTTATTGCTCCTGCATAGATTTTAATCCAATAACAACTCAACTTGGCCTCCAAATTTGTTTTTGAACGTCATAAAATTGCATTCTTTTGTATACAGACTGCAATATAATGCCACTATCAAGCCCTTAGAATAGAATAACTGATCCATAATTGTGAAAAGTTTCTCCCTTAACTGTGCTTAGATACGCCAGCAGTGATTATAGACCAGCAGCTGTACTATAAATACATTGATACATGAGGTGCTTAGGCTAGTAGTTTTCATATTGTTTGGCATCAGGGCATACTTAGATGAAACAACTATATTTCTGAGACACACAAAAGACTAATGTGTCAGGCTGTATCTCATTTCATGTTGAGAGATTGAGAGTTGCAGATGATAGTTCAACGTGTCACACACACTTTACAATATTACACACCGGCCTCTATTCTACTGCGTCATGGTGTTTCGTCACAGCTCTTTGACATTGCACTGTAATTCCCTTTAACACCAGAGTGAACAAGACAGAGAGAAACACTGATAGAGAAGAGAAGGTGGACAGAGCATGAAAGCAGAATAGAGGGAGGGGGAGCAAAAGACAGAGGATGAATGAATGATAAAGCCCAGAAACGTAGATAGTAAAGAAGAGTCAAATGAAAGTAGAAGTGAGAAAGACATCAGAGACATAAGAATGACTCAAAAGAACCAGTGTGACTCCACTGCCCCCTGCTGCTGTAGCTGCAGTAGTGCACACCACAAATAAAGGCATGCCAACGGATGCTTGGATGCTGGTGGTTACCAATGGTTACAAGAGAGATGCGATCATGCTTGGAGGAGTGATAACAAAGGACAATATTTATCAGTAAAATGTGCAATAATATCACATTCCTCTATTGGCTTGTGAACATGGCATGTTACAGCAGTTTGTATTTTATTTTATTGGTATTTAGGGTGTCAGTGTAATAAGCAGGGGTTGAAACAGCATCTCAATCATCTACAGATGATCTGATTTTACCAATATGTGTAATCTGAGCCACATTCTTCATCAGTAGTCTGTCAGGTGGCTGTTGATGAGCGAATGTGATTAGAATTAGAAACCCTTTTGTGGGGGCCACATGGTAGTTGAGTCCGTGCCGCAGCACCCCTGGGTTCGATTTTGACCAGCAGCCCTTTGCTGTATCTTATCTGGTTGCACTGCTACTTTTACTTAAGTAAGGGATCTGTGTATTTCCTCCACCACTGCTGGTCGTACTGAGCTTTATATTTTTGGAAATACTGTAGTCCGATTTACAGATTGAGTGTGTTTACATTAGTTTGCATAATTTATGTGTTTGTTTATGTTTATGTGTTCATATTTGTTCTTCCAGACTCATACATTGCCAAATCAGCCTCGTTGCCAGGCTACGGCAGAAATGGATTAAATAGGGTAAGCAGTCATGATTACTGGTTGTGTCTGTGTGTGTGTGTGTGTGTGGGTGGGTGGGTGTTTGTGTGTGTGTGTGTGTGTGTGTGTGTGTGTGTGTGTGTGTGTGTGATGAAGAGAGAGAGGAAGACAGGTGTGGTCATTCACTAAACCATAAGCTATGGCGAAGTCCTTCATTTTCCCCACTGAACCTTTGAAACTCATTTGTATCAGTTTACTTCCTGAGGCCAACTGAGACAGTAACTAACAACTGGCAAGATATTGTTATTATATTAGTCAGTGTGATAAATTATTAGACTTTTTATAGACACAACATTTTAAGATTCCTCTCCACTTTGGTTGATCTTTCTTTTGCCTCCATTATCATGATGAAGTGCATCGTCTCAGCCCATGTTTGCTGAACTGCTCTTGTTGTGTTCTGGCAGCCTGGGAGTGCGAGTGCAGATTATTACCAGTATGACAGCAGTAATGCAGTTAATTGGCAGATCAGAGGTAAGCCCATTTTACAGCTTTAAATCTGCTTATTCCCAGTTCTTCTAGTTTTCTCCTCATTTACCTCCCCTCCTGATGCATGTTATCCAGTGTTCAATGTCTATGTACAGTAATAATGTAATAGAGGTGACAACGTTGGCAACAGTTAACTAATATTGTATTTTCTCTTTTCCGTTTCTTTCAGAATACAAGGTAAGATGCTCTTGCCAAAGTGAACTGTAAGTGAGCCAAGAGTGAATAGTCTGGATCAATGGATAATAGACAAGGATGATGTATTGCTTGCTTAAAGTTCATATTGAATGGTGTATTAATATCACTCAGTAACACCCACTTGACTCAGTGAGATTTTGTGAAGCTGACTGACTCATTTTATTGACAGCAAAGTAAAACAAACAAACAAAAGCAAAGAGTAATGGCACAGAGGATTTGTGTGATGAGTGAGAGCCATCAATCTTTCACGACAAGACAAATCGTACCTGTTGTTTGTTACGTGCCACCCTTACTCGGGCCTACAGGGCAAAACATCACTCCACCACTGACCCAGAACAACCACAGAAAGACGCCTTTAAAACAACATAAAGAAATACAAACAACTAGCACCTCGTCACAGGTCAGGTTTATCTTAAGTAGCAATCAGTGCATCTGGGCAAAGCTAGAGGGACCAGAGGGGAGGAAAAGACTGAACAAAATGTTGCTATTTACAAACTTGGGGTAATTAATAGTTGCACTATATCTATCATATGACTCATTATTCTTCCTTCTTGTACATATTTAATGTAATTCACTGTTTTGATGCCACATTCTGTGTATGTACAATGAGGAGAAATCATTAAGGAATAGTGTTTGTAGCACTTCTTAACATTTTTGTTAAAATATCCCTTTAAGAATAATGGGAGAGGTTTGTAAGGAATGCCCAAGTGCAAGTCCAACTCTAATTTATGAACTAGAAAGTAGATTTAAACATTCATTTTGTCATTTTGAATGATTGTGAAGAGTTTGGAACTTTGTCACTTTAAGGTAGAAAAAAAAAGAATAAACTGATTTTTCTAATCACACCACTCTTTATTTGGAAGAAAGGGAACACCAATCATGTCATCTCTTCCTCTGTGGGAACAATGAAAAAGAGAAACATCATCAAATTTACTGACTTTTTATTCTTTTAGCCAATGCGCGCGGGGGGGGGAAAAAAACCAAAAATCAGTTTATAAACAACATTTAGCAAGAACGTTTTTTTAAATTTAATTAATGTGTTGGCCAAATCTTCTGTGGTGCATTTTGGTGCTAAAACAATAGTAGGGATGGCAGTTCTAAATATTAATATTGAAACAATACCTCTATGTTTCTGTGTGTGTGTGTGTGTGTGTGTGTGTGTGTGTGTGTTAGATTTACCCATACAAAGCCCTCATTGTGTCAGTCAGAGGGCAGCAGCGTCTTCCGAGTGATGTGGACCGAGCCAGATTGGAGGTAAAGTACTACAAACGTATTAGACACAGTGAAAAGTGTATTTGTGTTTTTACCATTCAAAGAGCTTTACCAGCAGTGAAGCTAAAAGATACCCACAGTGGTAATCTGGCCAGTATAGCTGTCAAGATATTTTGCTGTGGGCCATAGTTTGACAGAATGACAGACTCAGTGTTAGCAGGGCAATACAACTATTCAAATTAAACACACAAGGAGCTCAATGTGACAGCGGTGCTATGAGCTAACATGCTCACGATGTGATAATCCTAATGTGCTGATGTAATGTTAACCATGTTCACCGTCTTTCTTATAGTGTTAACTAACATTTGCTAATTAGCACTAAACACTGATGAGAATGTCATTAGTTTGGTATTTGCTTATAAAACAAAGTATAGCAGGACAAATTGAAATTATGACATAATAGTGGAAAATTAAAAGTTACGATATCACCAAAGTTATTACAATTCATCCTCAATGGGAGGCAATCAATTCAACAGTTGTCATGGCTTTTCACTAAAAAACACACACAACAACCTTATGGTTGGGGAAAAGTTGGAAAGGGAATTTCCAAAGTCATTACGCACAGACCACAAATGTCTACACAAAATTTTACTGACAATGCAGTAAAATGGCTAAAATGTTTACATTTCTGAGAGAAACAGGGATTTTACATGAAGCTATTTTAAGTAACTTTATAAACAAGTAGTTATCATTCACTGACTTTCCGTCTCCTCTCTCCTCCCAGCGTCACCTCTCACCAGAGGAGTTCTACAGAGTCTTTGGCATGTCCATGTCTGCCTTTGATCATCTTGCTCAGTGGAAGAAGAACGAACTGAAGAAACAGGTCCGACTCTTCTGAGAAAATGAAGTTGCCAGAAATGTCTAACCGAACGCAGGTCCACCGCCAACAGTGTGCTCTGAGGAGTAACCTCCAGAAAGACCTCGGATCTGACCCTAGACTGGCACTGTCCCACAGTGGACGACTTACTGGCCTCTTTTGAGGTGGCAAGAGCGGAGAACTGTTGGCCTACAAATCTTGGCATGCTTTAAACAGTGTGTACTTGGACTTCTTAAGCAATACATATGAAGTCAGCCAACTGCCCACAAGGGAAAAAAACTGGAATGAGAGTAAGCAGAACTTGAAGTAGAGGAGGAGACTTTGAGAGGCAGCAGATGAGCCACACTCTGGCTACAACAAACAGAAAGTTCATTAGTAGAGGGAGAGGTTAGCTGCTGGTCTCTTGCCTACCAGCAGATGGCAGTGTGTTAACAGGAGCACAAGGGTGGCAGGCTATTACATATGACCCAGTAGACTTTAAGCTGAAGTACTTCTGAGGGCCTGCCACCCTGAGCCAAACTTGTATTCATGCCAAACATGAGGGAGACTGCAAATAGGAAGACAGACCGGCATGCGCTGCAGGCAAAAAGGATCCAGTTTTCTCTATCCTCAGCGACTCATAAGACAGATGGATGACAATGGTTTGATTCTCGACATTAGGATTATTGAACGTGATACACAAGTGGAGTTTTTATAAGGCGCTAACACTGAAAACCAAAGGTTTTCTTCTTCTTTTTTAATACTGGCATGTGTTTTGATTTTGATGTCAGTTTTTCTGAAGCCATATCAGTTCTGAGCAGACAGTTCGCTGAAGTGTTTTTTTGAAATATGACGTGGTTGTGAGGCTTAATGTGAATGAAGTGTGTCATGGCCCTGTGCTCAGAGATATTAGCTGAGTTAAGTAATCAGGTTTTATTACTACACACACTTTAAGATATCTGTGTTTCACTTTTTTTATTTAATGAGATTCAAGGTTTTTTGTTGATTCATACCTGCAGCTGCACTTGTGACACAGCTCAGAATTTCATTTTAATTAAACCAGACTGAATCATGTTTGTCGAGGTTATGTGTGTAATTAAAGCAAGTGACTAATAGAGGATCTCCATGGATGGTTGTTTAGAAACTCTCTGAATAAAGAGAAAACTATTCTGAAGTGAAGGAAGGAAATAGGAATGTGTGACGGAAAGACTGACAGATAAAGGAGGAAGTAACAAGGAAGGATTGTATGTAGGGATAAATAAGAAATGAAGCAAAGGAAAGGAAGTTCTCACAAAGACAGTTTACTGAAGAGTTAATGCCTGTCATGAAAGTTAAGTTAACGTGTTAAGAAAGGATCTGTGTTTAGAATAAAACAGGTGTGATAGAAACTGAGCTGAATGCGTTTAATAGGAACAGAAAGTGTTGAATAGTTTGTTTCAAAAATGTTGTAATTGAATGTAAAAGATGGAATAATATCGCAGGAACTGAAACCATGAGTTGTTTACAGGTGTTGATTTATAGAGGAACATTTATAATTTGCAAACCCATATCTGTCACTAAAACTTGTAAATAAATGATTCAAATATCACTAATTTATTATATATTGTCCTGGTTTTTATTACGTACAAACCTTGAATGTACATGTAGATGGTTGGGAACAGGAACAGGATAGGCATGGAAAATCAAGGAATCTGAGTATTATTCTGAGGAAGTTGAGGGATATGAAGGACTTAGCAGATCAATCTTGCTACACATATATAATCACAACATTAAAGACCAGTGGTTCCCAACCTTTTTTGTGTATGATCCCATTAAGCAACACAATGTCTAACTGTGACCAGTTTAATGAGGATCTTTTTTTAAGACCTGAGGAGGCAAAACTATATACGTCTTCACTTGAAAAATGGGGGGAAAATTAAGAAGAGTCTGAAAAAAACCCGTCCATTTTGTGTAAAAGAAATGTTACAAAAACTGTTTTTATGGTTCTTCTCCTGTTAATCAGCTTCCAACCTCCAGTTGAAAACCACTGGTATACCCATAATTTTGGTAGGCAGTATCAGTGGTGGAAGTGGTTTTCAGATCCTTTCCTTCAAAGTATCAATACCACAATGTAAAAAAAAACCCACTGCATTTAAAATGTTAGTTACAAAAAGTACCTAAAGCTTCACAAGTAAGTAAACTCAATGCAGAAAATGGCCCCTATGAGTGTCATATATACCGGTATAATGTCATTTAATTAATATTACTCACTTATTATTATTAATACCAATAGTACATGGTATTTTTTTCACTTTATATAAAAGTGCATCAGTAATCTATAAAGTAGTGAAATACCAGTATAAAGCAGCATGACATGGACATAATCAAGTAAAGTATCTCAAATGTAAACTCTCAGTGACACAATGAAAACCACTAAAGAACAACATACTGAGGATTTAGAGATCAGACATAGTGTGGCCTCATCCATGTGTCTCTGTACAGTCAGAGCATTAAAATGTTAATACAGTTGTAGTGACAGGCGCTAGGACCCGGTGGAGCTCTGGATGATGAACCCGCGGCTGCCGAGTCAAACTATAAACTGTAGCGGGCACTCTGACTCACTCTGCCGGCCGCACGGAGGCTGACAGAGGTCCGCTGTGTCTGTGGCGAGCACATGTGAATAACCGTCGTTTTTAAATGAAACAACTAAGGGATTATTACTGGAAATAAATAAAAAATAAAAAATATCAAAACGGACATGGACTCCAAGCGCCAAAGTGGTGAGTAACAGTCTCTCTTTATACTCACATTAAAACTGTACAGTTGTAACTTTGAGAGGAAGCCTCCATCTAAAGGAATACATGTATATTTACGTATAAGGAGATAAATTAATATGGGCACATATTAACAAACAGGAAACATATATAGTCTACTAAAATATAATCAGTCACCACTAGTCACTTAAAAGTCACCTGACTTATTATAAAACATTTAAAACAACAGAGATTAGATACAGTTTTATTTTTATTTTTTTTTTTTTTTTGGGGGGGGGTTTCTTAAAAAAACCTTGAAGACCCTCACACAGTTTACCTGGCTATGCCCCCGGTGCGCCTCGGTTGCCTGGAGTAACCGGGAGAGTGATGTCATACACGGACACGCCGGTTGGTGCGCTGTGTGAGTGGACGGAGGAGGAGGGGTCCTCTCTCAGGTAAAGTGATGCAATCTGATACCAACGGAGAAGTGCCCCGTTGGAAGCAGCGCCGCTGGAAGCTGCAGCAGCGGCAGCTGCGGCTGAATGGCTGCTCTGTTTCAAAGCCTTCAGGCCACTGGGCTGCACACAGGAAGCTGCATTATGTGGCACCAGGTGATGAAGCTGTGGCCTCAATTAAAAAAATCTGTCAGACGAGGATCACAAGTGGCTGTGTTAAGGGAGACAATGACTATTATGGGTAAAAAAAAAAATCAGTTTTGGAGGAAAAGCGTTTACTCATGCTTCATTAAAGAACCTCATTTTGCTGCCTACAATAAGGTTAATAGGCCCATTATTTAGGCATGAATTTACACAAGAATGTCCCTTTTATAGAAGGATACCTGGAGGCAAAAGGAATAGGTCATCCTAATTTTAGAAACAAAATTAAATCAAATTCAGCACTCAAGCCTGAGCACAAATGCAGCCCCATAATCAGCCTCCAGACTATTTTAATTAACATGAGTGGGTCAGCTCATATACAGATCATAATTATCATGAGATGATAATGATGATAATTATATAAATTGTGATTTTTTTTTTGTGCTGAGTACTAAATGACCACACTGTGAGTTCACCATTACAGCTACCAATGTTACTTTGTTAGGGCTTTTTACACAGCAGACATTTTGATTTGTCACAGTAATAAAAGTGTTGCTAATAGCATTAGCAATAGTTCTGTTCCATTCAAGTGTCCCAGTAAGGCATGACATTGTGACAGTGAGCCATAATGCACAATACCAGAACCCTGAAACCATCATTAAATGTATTATTTACACCCATACTTACTGTCACATGACAATATGCGTTCCATGAAAAATGCCTATGAAACACAAGCAGCTTATACAGTCGAACCAAAGTGTTATGCAGCCAAACACTTGTGCATCTCTGCACTTGAGAAGAAATGATTCTCACTGTGGGAAAATAAAAACTGGAGTAATTGATAATGGTGTTCTGGGCCAATATCGCAACTGCTGCAACAGATGGGAGAAATCTGTAGAAATCAAAGTTGTAAAATGGTTTTAGAGTTAGAACTGCAGGGGCAAAGTTTTCATAAAATCTTCAGCTGAATTCTGAACAATGGATTTATCCTGTCTTAGATTTGTCTACATGCATACCAAGGAGGACAACTGTATACAATTTTATGAAACTGTTTTGACAATACTACAACAATCATTCATTGCAATCGGACACCCACATCCTGACACATGAGTTATCTGTTCAACAACAGTCACAAGCCTTGACCTCGACCATGGTCCTCTTACGTTTCCTTTTCCCTTTTCCTCCTTCTCTCCTCGCGATCCTCCACCCAGCCCCCTTCTTCCATTCTCTTCAGAAAGACCAGAACTCTATTGTCTCTCTTTACGCTATACTATTGATTATTGAAGGGATATTTAAGGAAATTCCTTTGACCCTGTGAAACCTGTTTATACCGTTTTGGTTTCTGCCAGCTGGCAGAAGCAACAGGTCTGTGCGTGTCATCCATGTCGGTTTGGAGTAGGTGGAAACTAAGATGATGTGGTGATAACACCAAACAGGAAAAACACTGGATCATGTTTTGTCCAACTGAGGGTTATATTATTATCATCATCATCACCACCATATCACTCCCGGGAATCACTGTCACAAAAAAACAACCGTAGAAGAAAAGTGTTTGGGTCAGATGACAGTGTAACAAAGTGTGATTTGTCTGGTCTTTATGCTAAACTAAGCTATCCGCTTCCAGCTTTAGATTTGCAGCACAGAGTAGTGTCAGTCTTTTAATCTAACTCTAGTAAGAAATGTAATTCTAAAAGTTACATAGAGTTTGAGAGCAACATTTTCACATGACTTGGCGCTGTTTGATTTGATGGTTTTGTCCAAAACAAAGGAAAAGTTATTAGACATATTTTGAGAAATAGGTGTATTCTCTTTCTTGCCGAGTGTTAGATGAGAAGATTGATACCACTCACACGGGCGGCTGCGGCTGTGGTTCCTTAATCAGAAGGTTGTGGGTTCGATCCCCGGCTCCTAGTGCCACATGTCGAAGTATCCTTGAGCAAGATACTGTACCCCAAATTGCTCCCGATGCCGTGCATTGGTGTGTGAATGTGTATGAATGTTAGTTTCTGTTAGATGGACTTTGCCATCACTGTGTGAATGTGTGTAAAAGGGTAAAAGCGCTTTGAGTGGTCGGAAGACTAGAAAGGCGCTATACAAGTACAGGTCCATTTACCGTTACCATTTACATGTCTGTACAGTAAATTTGAAGCTACCGCCAGCAGCCAGCTAACTTAGCATAGTAACTTTTATGGATTAAACAAATAATATACAATGTGTTTATTAGAGAGCTTTAAAGGAAAAGTTTGATATTTTGGGAAATATGCTTTTTCACTTTCTTTTGGGGAATTAGATGACAAGATTGATTCCACTCATGTCTCTACACTAAATACAGTATGAAGCTTCCACCAGCTGCCGGTTATCTTAGCTTAGCACAAAGACTGAAAACAGAAATACAACTGTCCTGGTCCTCTAATTAACACAATTTGTCATTTTTATACTTTTTCTTGTATGAATTAAACAAACGCTATTCAACGCGTTAATAAGAGAGCTTCCCCTTCAACTGGGGGATTGTTTTCCACAGGAGTATGCATCAAAATCTTCTTTGTCAAGCGAATTAATCAAGACATGTGGCACATGGTCACTATAGTGGCTGAAAGTCTCCTTACCTGGGGAAACCTCAGAACAGCAGTCTGGGTTTTAAATTAAACTCATGCTGTGCAACAGTGTCTGCGCCAGTGTCACACTCCTCTGTTTCCTGTGTTTCCTCACAATTTACTATCTGAGGAAAGTGATAAGATACTGAAAGAATGTGAAAAAGAGACAATTTTCCCCCAGCTGTTTCTTTTTAAAGATCTTGCCAGCTTGGTTCTGGGGGGAACTTTTTCAAGTGTCTGACTGAATGCTCACCCCGGGCGAGCAGTGACACCATCTACTGTTGTCACCAAAATATGAATTACAGGATGCTGAATTTTCTGAAGTAGACTTTTGTTTCAGAGGGGGCCGCCAAGACTTGAACTCTGACCTCTGTCTGAAGAGGATGGGTGTCTGGAGAAGGGACGGAGGGAGGCAGACGAGGGAAAGGAGTTAAAAGGAAAGGATCAGGGAGGAGGGAGGAAGAGAAAGAAAGGAGTGGAGGGGAGAATGTGGAATCTGGAGGGACCTCAGCCTCTGGGAGTGTGGGGGAGGCAGAAAGAGGACCACTGCTGTAGTGCAAAATAGCTTCATACACTTGAAGACTTGACATTTTCCTAAATTGAAAAAAAGGCATGAAAAGCATATGTTTTTGTCACATAAGTATATTTTGAATGTTCCTATTACAGATAATTACACG